ATTGTTTTCATTGAAAAAATAACGTAAAAAGAAAAAAAAATCTAATTTTTATTTAAAGTGATGGAATGGTGTGAATGTGTAATATGATTATTTTCCTAGCTGCTTGGGAAACAATATAAGAACCAGATTGTACTGCACTAATTCTTACAATACAGTCACATACACTCACCAAGCACTTCATTAGCAACACCCGCACACCTGCCCATTAATGCAATTACCTAATCAGCCAATCATGTGGCAGCAGTGCAGTGCATAAATTCATGCAGATGTGGGTCAGTAGCTTCAGGTAATTTTCACACCAACCATCAGAATGGGGAAAAGTGTGATCTCAGTTATTTTGACAATGGTATGATCGTTGGTGCCAGACGGGCTGGTCTGAGTACTTCTATAACTGCTGATCTCCTGGGATTTCCGGTACAACAGTCTCTAGAGTTTACTCAGAATGCCGCAATAAAGAAAAAACATCCGGTGAGCGGCAGTTCTGTTGAGAAAGGTCAACAGAAAATGGCCAGACTGGTTTGAGCTGATAGAAAGGCTATGGTAACTCAGATAACCACTCTGTACAACTGCAGTGAGCAGAAAAGAACCTCAGAATGTACAACATGTCGAATCTTGAGGTGGATGGGCTACAACAGCAGATGGGCTTCTGTCAGCCAAGAACAGAAAGCTGAGGCTGCAGTGGGCACAGGCTCACAAACACTGGACAGCTAAAGACCAGAAAAACATAGCCTGGTATGATGAATCTCGATTTCTGCTGAGGCACACACATGGTAGGGAATTTGATGTCAACAGCATGAATCCATGGACCCAACCTGCCACAGTCCAGGCTGGTGGAGGTGGTGAAATGGTGGGGAGAATGTTTTCTTGGCACACTTTGGGCCTGTTAATATCAATCAATCTTAGCTTGAATGGCACAGTGTACTTGACTATTGTTGCTGACCACATGCACCCTTTCATGACCACAATTTATCCATCTTATAATGGCTACTTCTACCATGATAATGCAACATGTTAGAAAGCAAAAGTCATCTCAAACTGGTTTCATGAACATGGCAATGAGTTCAGTGATCTTCAGTGGCCTTCCCAGCCACTAGTTCTGAATCCAGTAGAACACCTTTGGGTTATGGTAGAACAGGAGATTCACAGCATGAAAGGGCACCTGAAAAATCTGCAGACGTTACATGATGCATCAACATGGACCAGAATCTCAAAGGAATGTTTGCAACATCTTGTGGAATCCATGCCATGAAGAACTGAGGCTGTTTTGAGAGCGAAGGAAGGCCCTACTCAGTATTAGTATACAGTTCCTAATAAAGTGCTCAGTGAGTGCATTAAGGCATCAGCATAAAAGAAGAAGATGCAAGAAACATAGCACTTTGAATGAGTGCTCTGTTATTTACATGCAGCAGGGGAAGCCCACCACTCAGTGCTACTAAAAGGCCGAGATAGCAGGCAGGTCATCAATAACCACACACTCCAACAGGACGGTAAGCACTAACACTGCACAAACTACCCCATAACACAGCACAGAATAGCCCAACAAGCACACATACACGGCGTTTAAGCCACAACAATGACTATTTACAGGTTTAAGTCTCTCTCACTGCTGCTACAATGGTATCCATGGTGCTCCCCGCTCGCCGTACGGTCACGCTTCCAGCGCATCCACGGCCGAATGAACCGGTAGCAGGAGGCTATAGTACGTTTCACACGTGAACACATGTTTTTAACATGTGAGGTGTGCAAAATGCATGTGTTTATTCGCATGTGAAATTTATGGGACCTTTTTGTAAGGGAAGCTATGTTGTGTGTTTAGATGTTACTTGTCACATAAATAACAAAATGAAACAGAACAGTACAGTCACAAATTAGCTGTCGGTGAAAATTGCATTCGCTTATTTTACAACAAAATTTAAACAATAAGGACTATTGTGTGCACTGCAGAGTTAGAAGATACAGGATTCCCCTAAACACTGCTCCTTTACCATTCATGACTATAACATTCAGCCTGAGTTACTCTCATGAAGCCTTATGTAACACGCATACACTAGCATCTCTGCTGGACTCCAGCACTCTCTCATTATTCAGGCCATTATGGACTGGCTGACTGGAGGAACATGCAATCATCTCACCATCCACTTCTGCTAATTGCTGCTTCTAATTATTCCAAGAGAAAAGATGAAAAAAATATGAAATAAATAATTCATGTTTTGAAAGGAGGAACTATATACTGCATTAGTTCCCTTAGCTTTAAATTTATTTGATTAATACATTCCTCCTCTATGCTCCGCCAAAATGAGTGTTTGTGTATTTTTAACTATTCTTTAAAAAAACATATTTATTATTAAACACATAGATGTTCTGGTATTCAATCAGATTTAAAGATGAGTTTGTGAATGAATAATGGAAATGATTCATTAAAAAAGTTGCCAGTCAAGAGCAAAAAGCAGCAAAAATGATCACTTTCTATTCACACGGAAGCAGTGCTGACATTTCAACCTCATAAAGTCTTCATCAGAATATTATGAGGCTGAAATGTCAGCATGGTTTTAAGTGTGTATAAAAAGACAAACAGACATATTTAGCTGTCTTAACTCATGTAAATTGCTCCCTGCTAATAAGCACTACATTATTTAGCAAAACCACAAATGAAAAGGTACAAAAACTAATTACATTTATTAAAAGTTGAACTTCTGTTTCAACTTTGGAAATAACCTAAAATACGTCATGTATCACAGCCAGGGATTCATACAGCTGCTTTTGCTTACATTATATACGTATACACATTATGTATACAGTATATATATATATATATATATATATATCTACTTAGATTTGCCAACTGTCGTCCCCACTGTGACCCATTTCCCAGCAATAACAACAGTAACTATACCATACAGAGCTGAAATCATTGCTGTGAGCGCCTCTCTTCACATTCTCCCCACATTCCCTCTATTATTTTGTCAGACTCCTTTCCTTCATTTCTGCATTTCTGTCCTGAAAGCCCTGATTTTGGTTTTAGTGGGGATTATACATAATTCAACATTTTTTTCTTTCTTTACTAAAACATCATCTTTATGCTTTTTTAGAATACTATATTATATTAAAACAGCCTGTGAGAATCAGAGCATGAAAAAATTGAAGTAGGAAAGAAGTAGATGTATTTGATTAGTTTGTCGGTTTTTAGCGTAAAACAAAATGAAACACCCCCAAAATAAACTGTATTCAGGTTAGCATGGCCTAAATGCATATTTTCTGTATAATTTAAGAGATAAATATAGAGCATAATTACAGAAGCACACACATTTACATACCTACATCCATTTTTTGTGCTGACCTTTAATGGTGAAATAACATTAACCCCTTAAGTGGTCAGGGCTCATCCTCAGGCCCAAAGTTTTATTACACACTTCTATAACCTAAGAATAGTTTAACCCGTTTTCTTTGAAGTAGTTACTAAATAATAAGCCTTGATATGTAATCAGCATGGGGTTAAGCTAAACCCAGTCTTTCCATTTGTTCACTTTCCAGTTATAAAATGATATTTTTACTTAATTCACGGCTTCTCAGAAAAGACAAGCAAAATATTTAAAAGAACCTGAAATTATCAGAATGAAACAAGCAAACGCTGCATCACATGTTACAGTCCTCTTTCTTCTTTATCTTATACTTCACTGTCTATTACACCTCTTACTGCATACCTTAACTTCAGACTTCATTTCGGCCTTGGAGCTTAAGTTTGGAGACTAGAGATGGATAGATATTGTCACTGCTGGCAGTTATATTGTCTCGAACATCAGGAGAAATAGTTAAAAATGACTTATAATAACCACATTATAATTATTATTGTTAAGTTATTACTGTAACTTTCATTTAAAACCGGGCTGCATTCACATTTTAAGATCACTAAATATTAGTAATATTAGCAAGATCACTTAAGAGCAGTAAGTAAACAAAACAACAATCTGTTAAAACCTTTTTTTCACAGTGGAGACCCATCTGTGTATTTGGGACTTGTCTGTATATGCGTGAGAGTGTAGAAGTGGCAATATATGACAGTATGCAATCTTTATCTTGATAAATTACATCACAACATGCTTTAAATCATGGATAGAATCAGTACTTGTAAAGAACTGTATCATAAAAAAGGCAACTGTATTAAACTTTTAACTGTATTGCAAGTTTCATTCAAAAATGCTGTTTTGCAACAGTTGTACAATGTGCTTAGTCAAAAAAAGAAAAAAAAATGTGTAATGAAGGTGGTATTAATCATAATAGCACTGAAATGTCTTGTATTCCCAACATACATTATAAAAAAAGGAAAATGAAAGAGGCATTTAATGTGTTTTGGAACTAAACAGCAAAGTTGTCTATAACAACTGCATAAACTGCACGTCAACTGCATAATAACAAGCAGCTGACTGGATATCAGCCCATTGCAGGGACGTAACTAGAACTTTTAGGTAAGACCCAGAGTTTTTTTCTGGTGGCACACTCTAAAGAAATAAATAAAATAAAATAAAATAAAATAAAATAAATAAATAAAACAAAATAAAAGTGTTACCATATTAAAATGATATAACTATATAATTAAAGCTTTAATTCGGTTCACACCCTTTAAACCCTAAACCTGATAATGAGTAATATTACATCAACACAATTATTGCCTAAAGTGAACTGAGAGAATGAAAACTATGTTAACGTAACTGATGAAATGATGATCTACTTCAGTCATTCTTGAGGAAATTATGTGTTTGAAGCAAGTAAATTAAATTAATTTAAATCCCTTTTTTTTAGTGCACAACAACAAGAAAAACACTTCACATAGATAGATGTTATTAATTTAGGCTGCCCTCACTACAGATCATACATCTAATGTTTAGAAAGTTAGCCAGACAGCACTCTACAAAGTAACTTATAACACATGCATGTAACTGTAAAAAAGTACTTAGCTAGCATGATGAACGATTATAGCTGTATGCTATGTATGCTGAACTGACCCTGCAGTTGCTGAGCTCCTCAGCGGTGAAGATGATGGTTCCACATTTCTTTCCTGGAATCCCACTGGAAGGAACAAAGAGAGAGAAAGAACCAGAGCAGTTACTCCTTAGAGAAAAAGTCACCAGCATAACAGAAAAATCAATACTTCTCTGTGTATAGCTATCTTTGTTTCACTATTAGTGACAGTGATTTGATGGATGTTATGTGGTGAGGAATGCGGTGTGTGTGTGTGTGTGTGTGTGTGTGTGTGTGTGCGTGTTTGCGTGTAGTGGTTTATATGGACAGTGTGTGTGGGTGTTTATGTGACAGTTATGGTGGGTTTTTGTGGGGTTATCTCAGAGAGTTTATACTCATCAGAGTAATCAGTGTGTATGGTGTGTGTGTCAGTACTTGGTACTGTGTACTGTGCACTGTAAGTAAACGAGGGTCTTCAGTAAGAAGTTGTGTGTGTCAGACTAACTGAGAGGTCTAAAGGGCGAAAGTGTGAGCTGCACACACAATTACACTCAACCCACTAGAGAATCCCCATCACTCAATACCTTCACACAACACACCAACACAACGGCTCTCACTCAATATCAGCCAGGAAATTACAGAGACGAGCTGCTAAAGTACTCAGCACTCTGTACTGGAGTGGCAGCAGGAGAAATCCAGAGAAAAACTGACAATAAAGGGCTGGAAGGATGTAAAGGAGAGAGAGAGAGAGAGAGAGAGAGAGAGAGAGAGAGAGAGAGAGAGAAAGAAAGAAAGAAAGAAAGAAAGACATAACAGAAGTCATAGAGCAGTTGTTGTAGTCTGTCAGAAAATGTTAATCCCAAACATGTATTTTTTTGGAAAACTTATGCAACTGCCCAATGGCATCTTTTCAGTTTTAGGTTTTCAGTTTTTGTCTAAATATGCATAAAAAGGCAAAATTCCTGTCTGTCTTGATAATATACAGTACTCTTTCATAATATGACTTCTTCACAGGTTTGGTGCAGATATAGAACCTGTAACAAGGAGTCAGACATGGCAGCTGGATGCATTTGCGAATTTATGAGTGGTTTATTGGAGTGTGGGTTTATAAGAGAGCGAGAAGATACTGAGGCACAGCGGAATCCATAAATAAATACAAGTAGGTAAAACAGAACACACGACAGAGGAACAAAAAACTGAAACAAAAAAACAGAAAAACAAAGAGGAACCCAAAAAAGTGCAGAACAAACAGGGACCAAAAACACACATCTATAAGCAATGTACAGATGAGATCAAACAAGAGACAAGGACACCATGTACCCAGAATATTAATGTGAAAACTGGAAATAATGATTAGTGGGCGGGGTTACAAACTACACACAAGTGACAAAGATGAATGAGGGCGGGGCTAGGACAGCAAGGAGACAACACAGAAAAAGCCTGGTTGGGGAAGCATGATATAACCCTCCAGAATTATTGGCTACGAGTAAAGATGAGCAAAAGGGGCTATAAAAACATCCTACATCCATGTAGCACTGAAAACATCTAGAAATGTAAGAGAAATCTAATCTTTTAGTGAACTAAAAATATAAAAAATACATACAGAAATACATTTTCTTACAAAAAAAGAAAAAAATGCAACAAAGAGATTCTTCCAGAGTCTTTTGTACTGATCTTTAGAAAGGGTGCCAATAATTGTGGAGGGCACTTTAATCCTTATAGGTGCTACAGACTTTATACACATGACAAAGGTGAACAGATTATCAATCTGTACCTTAAAGAAAAAAATTACCTCCCCACACATTAATTCCCCTGCAGATACTAAATCATATATCCAGAGATGAATGAGGCAATCAATACCACTGTCATCTCATTAAATGGAAGACTTGGAGAAGATGAGAGTGGAATGGGGAATCCCTCCATTATAAATATCTTCTGTAATAATGCTGCGTGACCCTCTCTCAGCCCTGTCTCAGTAAGTACTCTGTAATGAGCAGAAAGAGCAGAAAAAGGGGGCTCTGATATGCACATTACTGGAGCCAGAGGAGATCGGCTGAATGCATGTACATGAAAAAGAGAGCTCACGTTATGAAAAGTCTTCTCCAACACAGACTTGGAAATATAGGAAATGTGTGAGATATGCCCTGACCAGTCTCTGTGACTCTTTTATTATACACACTGAAACTAGGAATGTTTCATTGTGATGCACAGGACATGCCACTAGATAAAATACACCTTTTATGTTCAATCCCAGAGGTCAAAATCATGATTTTATTTCGAAGAGAATTCAAGACTTAATCCACAATTTAAGCCCTTTCTTCTTCTTCGTTTCTTCCTCAGGCTCTTGAATAATTAGGACTGTCATGACATTGATTTTTGTCCAAAGCAAACAGGCCTACTCACAAAAATAAGATAAAAAGGGAGTCAATTACAATTCTGTGCAACAGATAATTGAAATATGAGGTGTGGAAACCAATTCAATTCAATCTAATTCAATTTTTAAGGTCTATAGATAGAAAACCAGTGTAACACACATGCTTCTATGAGTTTTGAGGTGCAATGAAAACAAAATTTAGCCAGTACAGGAACTCTGATCAATAGATCTTCCAATAGACTCTCCGGTAGCATATTATGTGCAACACTAGACAACAACAGTAGACAGAAGGACACATTAAAGGACAATTGGCCCTGTCTTTGGAAGATTGCCAGTTCGATCTTCTGTAATGCCACTGCTATTTGTGGTCAGGAGTCCAAAAGAGCACAACTGGCCTCACTCTCTCTGGGTGGGAAGGATGGCCTCCCTCTCCACCCATCACCAACATGGCGTCTAATAGATGATGTAACAGAAATGGCAGTTAGTGCTCTTCTCCAAGTGTGTTGAGCTGTCCAATGCCATTGCCTTAGCAGGAGTTTGTGGTGGAGCTTTGTGCATCTTGGAGGAAGCACGTGCTAGCCTTCACCCTCCTAGTTGGGCAACATCGTGTGATATGGGAAGGGGGTGGAATTGGGCATGACTACATTTTTTTTTACCGTTTTCTTATTTATTCATGTTTGGACTCATTTTATGTGGTTCTAATCTTTGAAACCTTTAAAATCCCAGGTTTGTTTCATACTATGGCTTATTATTCAGTAACTACAGGGACTTCAACGCAAACTGGCTGAGCTATTCTTAGGTTATAGAAGTGTGTAATAAACCTTTGGTCCCTGGTCATTTCAGGAGTTAACCAATGATAGCATTTTGTTTTCAGTTTACCAGTTCAGTCTGATATCAAAACAATATTAATGTTTTATCAGGGGGTTTAATCCTAAAATTGGTTAATTTTTAAATATTTATGATATCTGTTGGTCCCTAGAAATGACAGAAAACTGCACAGCACCTTGCAAAGAAACAGGCTGACTGTTGCAAAGTTGTGTTGCTGAATTCAAAAAGGACATTTTGACCAAAGTGAGTAGGCTCATTCCCTGCGCTTACTAACAGGTGTAGGTGAGCTGAAGAGCTGAGGCTAGGTAACAGCAACAGGCTACAGGTAGGTGTACAGAATGAGGTCTGGACAGATAATGATGGCAGCAGGTAGTTTAGTACCAGTCAGGTTCCTCTATTACTCTCTCTCATGCCTGCATTGCCTCAGCGAGTTGCATCACTTTGCCAATATAGATAAAAGTGTACCATACAAGTTCTCCTATTGCACTGATTCATTTTCCACAACTCGGTGTAATGGAACTGAAATTGGTTGAAATGGGGATCAGTGACTTGTTTGCCATACTGCCAGGCTGTTGTTAAGACACACACGTATTCACACATCCTTCCCCTCTTTTTGTTTTCTGAACTGTAAGACAAGTTAAAACCGCACGCCAGCAATTATAACATAATTAATCCTCAAGGGTTTCCATTCGACATCAACACTACTTCAGAACTAATAAATGCTACTTTAACTCTGTTATTTTCACAAGGCTCACTGGTTTTGAGAAATGGATCCTTATTAAAGTCCAGCCCTTGATAATCTTTGAGCTTAACAGCAACCTTTTTCTCAATTGTTAAGATGCTAAACACATCTTAGTCAAATGTATCCACGGCCCAGAAAACACGCTATAGTAGCGAGTGTTTGACAGCAATTGTGGCGAGAAGAAACTCAGAGCTTAAATCCTTCCAAGTGGAACAAGAAACTCTTAAAGAGGTCCACAGGTATATCTAGGCTGAAGTGGGCTGCTTGAGGAAACAGGCTAATTACAGGCTGAATGCTGAAGAGCGACTACAGGAGATAAGAAACGTTAGTGTGCATAACTGTGGGCGACCAGAATGTTCTACATGACTGTGTGTAGTCTGCTGCTTCTGAGGGAATCTCCAATAACATCTCAGCCGCCTACAACTCATCCACTTCCTGCAGTGAAACCCCTCTAACACGTACATACACGCGCTCTTTATATAATAAGACTCTGGACATCACTCGTCCACCACTCTCGCTCTCCTACACTTTTACTAATGCGCAGTCAAATGTGACGAGTCATAAAAAAGCAGAGAACACACGCCACGCATAAAACACACGCGCGCGCAGAGAAAAGAGAGGCACATAAGGACTTCATCTCCCACACACAGGTTACACAATCAGAAATATAGACTCCATTATGCAACAGAGCTAAACATGTAGACTCATACACACCTACACAGAAACATCACACACACACACACACACACACACACACACACAGACACTCTCACACCATACACACACATTTACTTCTGCATAAAAAGTCAGAAACCCCCCTCAATTTACTTTAATTTCCAGTAAAACTAGCTAAGTAAGTACAAGTTTTTCATTTTCAGGGGGTATTTCTGAGGAGGTTGGATACCAAAATGGTGCAAAAAGCTAATTGCTACTTATCTTAGACCTTTTGAAGCTGTAACTGCCAAACAACAGCTTTGCAACAAGGTACTAATGTTACTAATGTTTTGTGTTTGAATACTTTTTCCTCATTAATTTTGTTAAACAGATTTGTTTATGTTTATGAATACATATTTTTCTGTTCATATTTATAAGTACAAAGTTAAAAGTTATAAATTATGTAAATTTGAAGAGGATCTCTACACTGGAAGTTTATTAAATAACAAA